TCCCTACACACCAGACTTACCAGCCTGACATTGCTTTCCAAGCTGCTGGGCCATGCTCCTGGCCACGTGCATGCTGTGGCTTTGCGCATACACGGGGCACTTATCCACCACATCAGGCAAAAAAGCTGACTTCTGGTGCTGTCAATTTTTCCTATATTGGTGTGGATCTGATATGGGACCAGTGTATCAATGCACCTCTATTAATGGGGTTTGATTTGTGTGGCTTTTTTCCTGTTTTAATAGAAAACAGAAAGCTTAAAAGCATCCATAAAGCCCTCCAAAGGAGGTAACAAGTCAACAAATGTAACAGCACAACCAAAACATCTAGCTGCGGTGAAACCACTGAAGGAAGCCAGTGTTCCAAAGGTAGGAGGAAACTGTTTTGTTGTTGTTGTTCTCTGGCTCTAGACTTGGAGCCTGCCTCTTCCTAGGCTGGAAGTGTACCATTTGCCCCTTTCAGAGAAATCAGAATGTCCCATATGCATCTCTGGGCTTGCAATATGTTGGCTCATTACTCCTAGTAAGGGGAGGAAAAGGATACAGGAGAGTTAAGTTATATTTTGTTAACCGATTTAATTTTTTTTATTATTAACACAAGCAAACGAATAAAGAGAACCTGTAAATCAAATGTAAAGATCATTAAATGACTCCTATACATGGGCAAAGTCCTTATGGCAACAACAGACATCTTGGTTCAAGATGATGTCTGTGCCACAGTGGCAGAAATTGTGGGCTAATACTACAGGGTTACTTTTTCTATTTATAAAAAAAAAAGGCTTAAAGCTGTCCAGTTACTAAAGCAGTATGGACTTTACATTGGTTGCACAACATGTGGGTTTTAATGACTGACATATCAAATAGATTATGTCTCCAACCCCTATGGACATATCCATGAAAGAAGAGGATCTATGCCAGGCTTTTTCTGATGTACTGCTCAGCAATGTTGAAGACATTGATGCTGATGACTGGGAAAACCCTCAGCTTTGTAGTGACTACGTAAAGGATATCTATCTATATCTGAGGCAGCTTGAGGTATGGATGCTTACGTTTTCTCTTACAACTGCAAATGCATTTAAGCTTACCCATTCAGTCAACCACATGGGTATTTCTCCAAACAGTTGCAGCAGCCAGTACGTTCACGCTATCTTGACGGGAAGGAGATCAATGGACGCATGCGTGCAATCTTAGTTGACTGGCTTATTCAAGTCCACTCAAGATTCCAGCTTTTGCAGGAAACCCTGTATATGTGTGTTGGCATTATGGACCGTTTCTTACAAGTAAGTGTCTGGAACATGATGCTTTATAACATAAATGTGGATCTGGCAAATCCATTTAATGACTATACTTAAACACTGAACAAGAGCAAACTTTTCAAATGGGTTCTGGGTTTCAGTTGCCTGCATATTTTATTAAGTGCATAAATTACTGAAATGAATGCTGTGTCTTATCTCCACTATCCATTTAGTAACTTAACTGAACTCCATTCCACTGTGCCAAAAACAGTGAAGGGGGAACAGCTGTCAAAGGGCTGCTCTTCCCCTTCAATGCAAGGGGACCTAGCTAGTTCCAGGACCAGAGTTATCACAGTACTGTGTGCTTAAGGAGCATTTTTGACAGTAAGTTCCAATAAGTGCACATTGCAGGAAAGAACATAGCCTTGCTTAGTCTTGAGACGGAGAGCATATTTTGCTTAAATGAATAATCATACTGGAAAAACTAAAATTTGTCTTTATTGTGCCCAGAATCGCCTAGTTTCCCGAAACAAACTTCAATTGGCTGGTGTGACAGCACTGTTTCTAGCTTCAAAATATGAAGAGATATTCTGTCCTGACATCGCAGACTTTGTTTATATTACTGATAATGCCTACACTACTGCTCAGATCAGAGAAATGGAGGTGGCAATTCTTAGAGAACTGAACTTTGACCTGGGGCGTCCCCTTCCACTCCATTTCTTACGGAGAGCATCAAAAGCTGGCGAGGTATGTGCTTGGCCCAATTTTAACTTGAAGCATTCATGCTGAACTTCAAGGTAGCTATTTTGGTTGGACAGTGTCTTTTCAAGCCCTCTTCTGGACTTGAGGGATGCCAGAGTAAAATGGATTTAAAGAGAGGGTGGATTAGAGAGCATGTATAGCAGAATGCTGTTTGGTATGTGGTGGCAGTTAATTCTTTTTATGAAAGAAACAGTGGCTCAAACACTGAATTGCAGAATAGTTTTAGATAATAGATTGCACATTGCTTCACTTATGACAAACATGCTGGGAACTAGTTCTGGTGGTAACAAGATAAGGAACTGATGCAGCTAACTGAAGAAAACAATATAACTGAAGTTTCACTAGATAAAGTACTTCAGTGTATTCTGGGTATTTCAGGCCAGATCAGAACAGGCCTCTGACTCGTTGTTTTTTTGTTTGTTTGGTGGTGTGTGTGTGTGTGTGTGTGTGTGTGTGTGTGTGTGTTTGTTTTTTTTTTTTTTCTTAAGTGCTTAGGGACATTCCATGTAATGGTAGGTAGTTCCCTGCTGAATCTAGATGCAATCTGTATTGGCAGGATGGTCCCTTTTTTATAGTGCATGGGGGAGCCTAGAGAGCTCTAGTGTTGCATTTGAGTTCAAGATCTAGCACCCTCTTTCTCTGACTTCTGGCTGTGTACTAAACATAAGTAATGTGCTGCAGCACTGGTTCTTATGCCCTCTTTTTGAATCCAGCTCTCCATTCTTTGCCCAAGATGAACAGAACAAAATAAAACAAAAACAGTAGACAAAAACAGTAGACTTGGACAGTGAAACTCCCACACCAGATGTGATTTTTAAACCTAGCCATATGGTATTTGCTGCAGTACAGTAAAGTAACCCTTCTGCTGTTTTCTAACACCACAACATGAATTGGGTTTTAGTTTCTAACCTAGAAGAGATGCTGAACCCAAGTCTCCCTTCTCATGGAATCCAGGGTAGGATGCCCTTTGAGTGGGGCAGTTGCAGTTCAGGATATTCAAAAGGCAGTGTCTACATTGTCTCCATTCAGGGCCAGTACCAAGAAGCATATCTTTTTTTTTTTCATTGCTGCTTGGTTGGCTGTCTCTTTTTTTTTTATTTATTTATTTATTTATTTATTTATTTATTTATTTATTTCCAGGGTCCAACACTGACTTTGAGTGGCTGAAGCATGTCCCCAAGAATAGTGCTGGCACTACTCAGGCTCATGCCAAGCCAGAGCTGCACAGTCTCATTTTCTTGCTGTTAGGCACTGAGCAAGAGCATGTTTCTCTCTTCCATGAGGAAGTGGCATAAACCAGTATGGGTGTGCAAAGCAGACTGTATTAGATTTGGATTTGGCAGTGAACTTGATTCAGATTGCTGTCCCCAATCTTTTTTAATTCGGCCAAATCTGAAAACTCAATACCGATTTGGAGAATCGGAGACTTGGACATAGACAGGTTTTTTTTGGTTTTGTTTTTTTTTTCTGTGTTTTATTTTCTGCATACCTCAAGGTACCAGGTGGCTCATTAATGCTGTGATGCTAGGGTGGATGGAGCATCCCACAGGCGCTGGGGAGCCCCCCCTGCACTCACTCGGCAGCAGACCCGGAAATGGACCAGAAGCACTCCCAGGTGCACTGGGGGGGCTGCATGCTCCCCGGTGGGCCCAGAAGTGCTTCTGGGTCTGCTGCTGAGCACGCTAGGGAGCCCCCCACGCTCCTGTGGGACGCTCCATCCGCCCCAGCATTGCAGCACTGATAAACTATCTGGTATCTTGAGGCATCTAGAAAAAAACATTTAAAGCTGTGTCTATGTCCAAATTTTTCCAAATTGATTTGGCAAGATTTAAAGGGTCTGATTCAAAGATTTGGCTGCCGAATCTCTGCCAAATTGAATTGGGGGACTGAAGCTTTGTACAGCCCTATAAACTAGCCCTTTATAGTCCTCCAAGCCATAGGAGCTTGAATTAAGAAAGCAGATGCTGCTTAACTTTTTAATCTTTTTCAAATGCTACCCCAATCGTGTTAAAGCCTGGATCATTCTTCAGCTAAAGAAATGAAGCTTCACACACTAACAAGTACTATCCGGCAGGCTGATGCTGAGCAGCATACACTAGCAAAATACCTAATGGAGCTGACGCTCGTGGACTATGATATGGTGCACCATCATCCTTCGGAGATAGCAGCTGCTGCTTTGTGCTTGTCTCAACAGGTTCTGGGCCAAGCCAAATGGGTAAGTTTGTTAGTCTTCCACTTTGGTTCTTCCACAGATCTTGATCATTCTTAATACAGACTGAGTTCCAGCATTACAAATGGCTGAAGGACTAATATAAATGCAGTGGTACCTATAGGGTGCTACTGCACCTCAGTACAGCTTTGTTTTTAACCCAAAATGTTCAGGCCTCTCAGTAATTGAAGGTCCAGTACATAAGTAGTTCTGCTATTTTGCATAAAGGCTATGCCAGGCAAGTAACTACCACCACTTTTCTTGCATTTTGCCTGCCCTGCATAACAAGATCATGTCTGGAGTATTTGCCTTCAATATTAAAGGTTGTCCAGGTGAATCGGGAGACCACTTGATAGCAGGACCTAACAGCCAGTGAGCTACTTAATTGTCCTGAGTCCCACTTCTGAAATTGCTGACTCTGGCTTTCTTAGATATTAGAATGGTGACTTGGCAACTGCCCCTTAATCAAACTTGCAGGTTCTTGGGGATTGGAAAGACTTCTATCACTGACCACCCTGTACCATGATACCACAGATAGTCTATCTAGTACACCAACATTTTTGGGAAGTGCCAAAAGTTTCCCACAACCTCAACTTGCGAGAAGTTGGCATGCCAGTGGAGGAGCTGCTAGGGGCCTAATCCTTGTTGCGGCAACACAGCTCCAGCCCCTTCCCCCACTATCTGCCCTGAGGCATTTGTGCCAAGCATAATGCTTTTGCATGCCATGCTCTGGCATCTGTGCCAGGGATTGCCTACTCCTGGTGTAGTAAATAAAGACTACCCTGTTCCAGTAAATGTTCTGTAGTGATGATCATCCTGTCTCCTTCAAAGCTGCTCTAAAGGAGAATAGTTTTGCACCTGGACTGGGAGCTGAGAGGTTCTTGAGCTCTGTTCTGCAGCTCTGACTAAAGCATCTGACATGCCCCTTGTTATGGTGGGGATAGTCTCTCCTGCTTCTTTGTAGTTGTGGGTTTGGAATTGTACTGAATAACTGCCCTGCCTCTCCTCCATGGAGGATTGGGCTGTCAGCACTCTGGCCATCTTGTATTGCAGGGAATAAAACAGCAGTACTACACTGGGTATGCGGAAGAGAGTCTACTCCTAATCATGCAGCATATGGCCAAGAATGTAGTCAAAGTAAATGGGAATCTAACAAAATATGTTGTAAGTATTGGTCACTCTTAACTCCTGTTCCTATACTGTTGTTAGTACCTACTTTCATTTCCTGATAATCGAAGATCATGCATTTCGATAAATAATATCCTGTAACAGACTTATGGTACAGAGTTGCTTCCGTTTTTGGCTAGGACTTGCTTTTTATTGTTGCTTTTGATGTTGCCTCCCTGTATACCTTGTAGTCCTCCATCTTGAAGCTCTGTTGTATTAGCATGGCACAAAATATTGCAGTCCATTTGTCTAGACAGTGTTGTTCCTCTCATTCCTGCAGGCTGTAAAGAACAAGTATGCAAGCAGCAAACTTATGAAGATCAGTACACTTCCCCAACTGAACAGCAAAATAATCAAGGACCTAGCTGCATTTGTCGTGGGATAATCTTAGGTAGCAAATTCTTGTTCCATGCACTTTGTCAACTTGCCTACTGAGGCAGAACTGCTGCTTTTGTACATATCTCTTCTGTTTTGATACAGACGCTTCAGATTCACTCTGAAAGCAGACTTTTTAAACTTGCCCTGTGATACATGTGTATATCTAAAAATAAAGCTCCTTTATTAAAAATACTGCTCTTCTTTATGCTGTTTACAAAAACCAAACCCCCCAAACTAGCAAGCTGACAACTTTTAAAGTGCAGGGATTTTCATTAGTCAGTTGTACCAAGGTTCAATTCCTTGCTGTAGCTATAAGCCACCTTACTTGTGACAAGACTGAGATCAGAAATCATACCTGCTTCTTGCCTCCTCCCCCCCCACCCAACTGAAATAGCTGATTTGACTCATTCATTTGAGTACTGCAGGCAGTTTACCTTGGACTGTTCTACTCCCTCAACTATAGCTCATGCAGGGATTTCTGCAGTAAAGTCAGACATGCAGTTGTACTGGTAGATCATACTCTTTACATCATTGGGCTTGATGCCCGAAATAGCACTGTGTATTGGAGGCAAACAGATCAACTGTCACTTGTGATTTAGGTTCCTCCCCTGACAAGACTCCAAAATTATCAAAGTTAACTATAAGTCACTTCTGGACAGTGAGAATGAGGCCCCAGGTTCTTCGTATGTTTAAAAAAAAAAAAATCTATTCTCTTTCATGAGGTGTATTAACATAATTCATTCTTTAATCTACTTCAGACTACTCTGTCTACGCTACTTGGGAGGGAAGGTGTGTGGACAGTGAAAGTGAACTGAAAGTTGAAAGGGAAGCTACTGGCTCTGCTGAAAATCTCTGTTGTGCCTCTAATTACTTTTGCCTCTCTTCTAGCAGACAAACTTCCAGATTTTATCTTCTCTTATGGTTTAGGTTTCTTTTTTCTTACGGTAGAAGGTACTCCAAAGAAACTACTGGTTAGAAAGTAGATGCTAATAACTGTCCTGAAGTTGCAAGCATGTGCAAAGGTGCATGATTGCTAGCTCTTGAGTTTTCTCTTCTAATGTGTGCTAGTGAAAAGGGCCTAGCAATGCTGCAGACCTTTAATATTTGACAAGTTGGATGGGTGGAAACACATTGGGACGCTGGTGCTTTTTATTTCAATTGGTAAAACAGTGTGGATAAAATACCTGAACTGGTCTTGGAGCAAGAATTGGAACCCATGTAGTCTCCTTCTCTAAAAATAAAGAATAAGGTTGTCTAGCCTTTCAAAATAAAAAGTTTAACTTTATCTTTTCTATATTACAAAAGAAAGTGTGTGTGTGTGTGTGTGTGTGTGTGTGTGTGTGTGTGTGTGTGTGTGTGTGTGTGTGAAGGTGCAGCGGGCTGAAAACTGCAGGGATGGTGACCCAGCTGAGCCCATGAAGCCTGCCAGCTGTTGAGGAGATAGGTGCAATGGGGTTCTGGGGCCCTGCCCCCCTAGTTGCTAACACAGACTAAACTCATGCCATGGGTGCTTGTGCAACTGACTGTCTCTGTCTTGGGGCAGTTGATTGTATTGATTATTTCCTCTCCTTAGTCTGTCTGGTTTTGTAGGTGTTGATACATGCTGCTGAAGTTATGTAGTAGTTAGGTACTGAGTTGGTCCCTGAGTGAATCATGACTAATTGGTAATTAGTAACACAGTAGCTTAGTAGCCCCAAGCCGGACACAGTTTCACAAGCACCTATGTCACAAGTTTTGCTTGTCCACAGCTTGAGGTGCAGTTTTCCCCCAAACATCTGCAGAGCCACATACTACATGGCTGCACTCATCTAGACACAGCCTGATTGGGCTTACTTAAGTTGATGAGATGTTGGAGGGTATATGTAGGACCTCTTCATGTTTAAAACCTAGGGTACCTCAAGAGGTAGATGGCAGCTTGCTGTAAATTCTTGAAATGTAAGATGGTACTTACGAACTTTTGTGCCTGCATCTGTTTGTTTTTCCCTGCTCCATGCTCTAGATGGTGCTCATATGACTTATGAGAATATGCATTATACTTGCCTCTTCCCAGATGACTCCATGTAGTTTCAGACTGGGGTGTGGGTGTGTGGATTTGCCCTTTCTCTGCTCCCCCTTTGCTGAACATGGGTAAACTAGGAGCCTTTATCACTCTGGAATGAAATTTGCTTGTGCGAATGCCTGAAAAACAACAAATTGCAACCAACAAGCCAACCAACTCCAGGTCACTAGTTCCCGTGTCTCTTTATTTATGGCATTTCAGAAGAAAAAGTACAGATACTGATTAACCTGCATGATAAGCAACAGCTATGTTTTAAATGGTGGGGGAGGTAACTGGGCTTAAAAGCTTTAACACTGACTTTATCACTTGAAAATGAGTAGTGCATATTTTATTTGTAAGTACCTGGCACAACTTCTAGTCAATCTACTTTATGGTTAAGTACAGTGAAATACTACGTTATACATTCATATATGTTTCTACAATATTAGAATTTTTTTATATACAGTATATGATCTGCTTCTACAAATGTACAGCTCAAGGTAAAGAGATGCTTCCTGCAACAGGTACAGCATTAAACAAATCCAACATGGGCCAGCCATATTCTAATATAAATCAAGGCAACGTTGTTTAGTGTACAGTACTGCTTTTTTTTTTTCCTTTTGCAGTGCCTTTTCTTGGAGTCCCTAGACATTACTGGCAAATAGTAAATGAGCTCTATTACATCTGTACACAATTACTTTAAATATACCATTGCCGTGATACCTAAAACGATCTTAAATCTTTGACATGTAGCAGCATACTTTGTGTTCCTCAGAATGATTGGTATCAGAGGAATGTGCATATAATGCTCTCTTCAATTATAAGAAAGAAACTACTGATATTTAACTAAAGGCACTTAATTATACAACCCTTCTGAAGTCCCTGGTCCCAGACTGCAAAGCACCTTGCAATTTCAGGAAAAACAAGGTTTGAGCGCACACCTCTGTTCAGTCTGCGTTCGAAAGAGGTTTAAATACAATAAATAACTTCTTGGTCAGTACATCCACACTTATGTTTGAGGCATGGAGTTGCACAATTCATCTTATGGACAGTAAACGGAGTGACTCTTTCCTGCTTGTACACAACTCCACTGGAGAAGATGCTGCTAAGAATTACAGGTCTCTGAGAAAAATGGTGGGGGAAACCTCCCTCCTGCATCTCAGTCACTGATAGGTTTATGCCATCCTTTATTTAATAAAGCCTCAGTCCTTTTATATCTTGGTCACGTAGTTGTTGGGGAACAATCCTTGCTTCCCTCGTAATCGCCCTGTCCACCAGCCAGAGGGATCTGCGACAGAACAAGCAATAACACCTTCAGCCCTCTTGTTTTTAGCTTTTAGAAAGAGACAGGTACAACTCTTCCATGTGCATATTCAAACTTGGAGAGCCTGGTTTTATTAGTCTTTCAAGCTCATTAAAAGGCTTTATCTTTCCTTGGTATCATGGTAGATGGAAAGGACAGAGGGTAGGACTTAAATGATTTGTTTTCAGTTGATGTGATGTAGCTATAATAGGCCCTGGAGGCAAGTGTAAGACTACAGCAGTATGCTTCCTGAACAGGACAACTAAATTCAGAACTCCTATTGGGGTGCTCATGTGCCATCATTAAGAAGGACCACTCTGGCATGAGGGTGTATGATGGGGGTTTCCTGGTAAGCCATGAACAAGCTTACTAGATATATTGCATGGTAGGTGCACCTCCCCTGCTTCCACTACATTATGCCAGGAAGCCCCAGTGTCCTGTGTGACCCACCACCCCCATATGGTGCTGTGGCTCCCACCCTGCATTGGGTTATCTAGTCTCTCTATCACAGGCTCTGTGAGCTGCCTCACATCACCCCCCCCCTAGGTGGGGGCAAAAAGCAGAAGCTGCAGGGAAGAGGAGCCTAGAGACTGGTAGTGGCAGCAGCAACATGGGGGGTAGGGGGAGGCAATGCCTGGACTGGGAGGCCAGGGGTGACAGGTTAACCACGGGATTGGCCTTGCGCAGGTGACAGGCTGATGGTTGGATAGTCTCAATAGTGGTTATGGAGACATCTTTGAACTTTGCACCCCCGCTCCAAAAACCCCCCGAACCCACTCCATTTACATACCTTCCTTGATTATATCGATTACATCATTGGCATTAAAGCTAAGTTCATCTGTGTCCTGAGCATCGTAAGCATATAGTGCCCTGCACTGTGGTACCTGAGGCTTGGGTTTTGGCTGTGGTTTGGGTCTCCCTCCAGCTGGTGGGGGCCGGCTTGATGTCTGCCTGCGAATGCTGCAGGAGTGGGGGAAAAAAAAGATTGACAGAGCAGTCATTCACTGTAAGGCCGTTAACTCATCCAACCCTCCTGCACTAGCACCCTGCCCTTGTCTAATGTTCATTACAAGGTTAGCTCCACCAATAAAAAACCCTAACTGTATTTGAAACACAGATCTACACATTTAGATTGCCCTTTTAATCTGTTGACCTAGAAAGAGGTTCTTTTATAGAAGTGGAGTATTGGTAGGACTGGGGCTCTATGGCCCTAGCTTACAACTGCCTCTGGGCAGTATTAAAGCATTGCAGCATTAATAACAGCTTCAAACCAAGGTCTTCTATGGCTTTATCTTGGGTATAGGGCCTTCATTTACAGGTCTAGAAATTTTGAATGGGCTCTGAACAGGGAACTGGTTTGCGCAGATGCAGCAGCAAGAGCAGTTTGATTTACGAGAACCATTTGTTTGGGTCTGGTCACAGCCAGGGATTGGAGGAATAGCTAGCTGAGACATGATGAAGGCAGGCTGGGCGTTAGCAGGAGAGGGTTAATATTCTAGAATTGGTGGGTTTACCCCTTATAATGCCAGTAACGTCTCAGCCATTACAGATGTGATAAAACTGGAACTCCTGTTGCACGAAGTGATGGTTCAGATAAAATGTAACTGTGTTACCAGACATCTGAGGCTTGGAGCCACCAAATATGCAGCTGCCCTGCCATTGTTTGTCTGCTAGCAATATTATAATGCATCTCCCTTGGGAATGAAATATTTGTGAAAGAGCAGCTGTCCAAAAGACTGTGCTAGTGTTTTGTTTAACTTGGTGAAAAGGATCATTAGTGTTGAATACAGAGATAATGAACTAGAAAGATGATGCTCAAGAGAGATCCCTGCAGCCTGATCCCTCTCTCTCTGGGCCTTTCACTCATTTTTTGTTCCCATGAGATAAAGAGCTAATATAACACTGGACAGTCTTCCCTCTTGTGATTTTACATTTGCTTTCTATGACCAATCATAAAGTAG